TTATCTCGATACGGATCATTTACGAACATTGCTGAAAATCGATGATGACGACCGTCTACCATGCCCGAGTTCCCCTACGTAAATGCGTGGAAATTGACTGTTTAAGCTTAACCGGATGATACTCGTAGTATAACCGTAGCGGCTGCGAGAGGCTTCCGTTTTAGAGTCAAAGTGCATTCGGATCGTTCGTGTAAATGGAACGGGCGAGGGAGGGTTCGAAGTCGTTCGGATCGAAATCATTCAATTAAGGTCAGTGGCTACTACGAAACAATCATCAGGCCCGGCATCGGGTGACGAACGCTGAAGAGACGCTTTCCCTTGGTCCCCTCGAACCAAGTTTTCGATCATCGAAAATATTATTGGCGATCCGCTCGTTATCGAAAGAGCATCGTACCTTCGCCGCGTAGCGAAGCGATGCAACGAGGCTTAGGTAGCGAGAAATACGGAAGTTAAATGTCCCCTCGACGATAAGAATGTGTAGGGCGTTCTCCAGAGACGAATCGAATACAAATCAGAGGAGGGAAGGTCGAAGTACCTTGGGCGAATAACGAGTCGCGAGGGTTTGAACGCATCTAAATTCAAATCGGCAATCGGTTTCCGAGACTTTTGAAAACGAGGAAAATGAAAATATTTTTTATAGTTTTTCCAAAGATTTGATACGCGTCGATTCGTGATTCGATGTGGTTAAAAAAGTGGAAAAACTCGCGTATCTGTTTGAGTGGAGGGGAAAGGAGACAGGAACTGGGGAAGCCGGAAATCGAGGAAAAAAGGGGGGAAAGCAGCAGAAGGGCGAAGCGCTTGCGCGACGAGCTCGTTTCCATGGCTTCGTTCGTTTCACGTAGCAACAGGAGGACTTTTGACCCCGTTCGATTGTCCTTCGAAACAACTCGATGCCTCATCGTTTTCTCCCGCTTTGTCGGCCGAGAGAAGTGAAACGCATCGTTGAATCGCACTTAGGCGTCACTCTTCTTTAACCTCAACGCGTGTACCGTCTTCGATAAGATTCCTCTTAGTCCGACGATAATACTTCACTTCTATCATTTATTCTAACGATCGTACGTATATATTGGGGATGATCGCCAACGAAAACAACAAATAAAAAAAAAACATTCGAAATTCGCACAGCTTCAACTACTCAAAAAAAAAGACAGGTCCTAACGTCGATGAATTTCGAAAGCGTTGATCACGAATGACGCACGAGTTTAAATTTACGAGCGGATCGATGCGCAAAGAAAGCCACGATACGGACGTTAAGTGGCACGTATATGAACAATGCCTGTCGTCGAACAGAATAATTTCGATATTGCCTTATTATGCTACATTCGAAATATATGCCGGTCGTTTTCCCAGGCAATGCACGCAATTTTAACGAACGAATTATTCTAAACAAGAAACATAATGCGCATGAAATTTAATTACAAAATATACACGAGTTATATATTCTAATCCATGGATTTTCCTATAGATCGAGAAGCACGTATAGCAGTGGAAACACTGTCAAATCGCGATCCCCGCATCGCAATTAAAATCGGTGAAAATCTCTTCTTGAATAGAAGAATAAAAGAAATTGAAAGGAATTTTTTAGTCAGATTCTTTGACTTTTTGTTCGACGACTGTGAAGCAAACACGCTTCTTTTCAACGATAGAACGAAAAAGATCATCAATTCATACGAGGAAAGGAAATATTTTCGCCAAGTGAATAGTACAGTCTACAGTCCTCTTATTTCAAATCGTGCGAGAGCATACTTTGATGTGATTCTTTCATCCAACTTCTTTCTAATCCACGCTTTTTCCCGCGCTTAGTTTCTACCATAAGTATGCGATTGCACGTACTTTCACTCCTCTCTTCTTTTTTCTCTATCGAATTAAAAAAAGAAAAAAAAAAGAAAAGAAATTATAGTTCAAGATGATTTCATATTATCTAGATTATTTTTATCCCCTTTTTCTTGATATACGTTTTCACGCATAAATGGCACGTAACTATCAAACTGAATATAATATCTACTAATGTTAATCATCCCCATGGAAAAAACTAATCGGAAAAATGGACGATGATTGTATGCTCGTGAAATTCAATGTTGTAAATTGGAGTTATAAAGACGTATCGACTCGAACGTAGGTCATAGAAGGGTGCAGACATTCAGAAGCGTATCTTTGATATGAAGGAACTCGTTTTATCGTCGCGACTTGATCGTTTTTCTCTCTTTTTTTTTTCCCCTCTTTCTTATTCTTTCTTCCGTCAGAAAATAGTATCGATTTTAGATACAGTTCACAAACTCGTAATGACTATGTATAGAAGTGCTTAGATATTGGTGGTAAATGTTCCGTGCAATCGAATACACTGATTTTCAATGATTGCCTGTGGGGGATCTGGTTGATTCTCGTACGATTACATCGAAGAGCAAAAGTGTGCAAAACGATTGTTCTATATGTAAGTGCGGTTACATCAATTGTATCTCTGATTTCTGCTTTCTTTCGTACGATTTCGTGCTAATGCGATTAATTGAAAAGCACTCGTCTCGCGCGTCCGCGTGCTACGTGATCGCTGTGATAGTTTCCTTTTCCAAGCGTGAAATCCAATGAAACGTAAGTAATTTCGTTTGTACAGTTGCCAGTCTATGATATCTGCTATTGGCTAACCTATACGCCAATATACTTTCAGCAACGATCCGAAGAAAACCTCTGCTCCTCTACCTTTCTGTTCGCTAATTTTGTATCTTCCATGTATTCGTAACGAGTCGCGTCTATATTCGGCATACACGCTCACCAAAGATGCACAAATTATCATGGAATAATTCTGGAGTTATTGTACCGAGATAAATTTGATTTTTATTATTTTCTTATTGAAAATGATAAATATCTATATTGAAAGATATTCATAAGAATTTTTTGATGTCAAAGACCGAAAAACGATATAATATTATTTTAAAATGTAATCGTTTTTATAAAAGAATATAATCAAAGAGCAGGAAATAAAAAAAAAAAAAAAAAAAAAAAAAAAAAA